GTTGGCTTAAAAGCAGGGCACCCTCCTGAATTCTTAACACACTCTGATATGTGCACGAGCGCATTTATAGTGTCTGTAATGAGCCGATTTCGTGGATGAGTATAGAAACCCTATGATTACAACTACCATAATTTGAAGAGTCACAAAATTCTGAAATTATCGTACATTATGGGATTTTTTAAATTATTGATCGTATATCGTACAGAGGTCAAAATTATAGTAAAAATACGATAATTATCGTACGTATGGCAACACTGGTTCACACACATCCCATAAAGATCCCGTAAAGACACGTGACATTACGATGTGACGTGTAATGTGTGACGCGTTCTGTTTCACAAGCTGGCGAACGATCTCAGCTTCAGCGCGGATAGTGAGGAGCTACCTGATCTCCGCTTCATTACAGTTTGCACATATTTTTTCGTCGCGAATGTTGATCTGCCTTCAAAACACCCGGTAAAAGAGTCGTACGATAATGTGCGTCATCACTACGACACACCCTTTACGGCATTGGCTCTGGCTTTTGTTCACACAGAGCTCATTCCGGGACTGAATCTGGCAATGTTACTAGGTCCCCAACCCGGGATCAATCCCGGGACGCGTTTGAGTTCACACAGAAGGCACTCCTGCAATTTTCCGGGACCAACGTGCAGTGTGAAAGGGGCTTAACTGACAGTCACCACTGATAAGCTACCACTAAATATTGTACAAACTTAATTTGCTGTAAAGTTGCTTTGCAACGATCAATCGTGAAAAGTGCTATACAAATAAACTTGAATTGAATTGAATTAAAGCCACATTTAAAAAAATGCATGAATGACTTTTCATTAATTTTCATTAACAAAATGTCAAACCAACTGTCATTTATTTTAAAGAAAGATAGCACAAGCACATTCTTCAGGCACAACGTGTCACAAAAAGACAGTTCTTAGATTTTAAATAATAAACAAAATGATAAACAACACACCATTACTTAAAAGCGAGACACTCTACCCACATCCGAAAAAAGTTAGCTTGCTAGTGTGGGAGTTTTTTTAGATTCTGTAAAAAATATGGTGAATTAAACACCCCAATCTGCAGGAAGTGCAGATCAACAGGAAGCTCTTTTTGTTTGCTTTTGGCCAGTTATGCTTACAAACTCACTCCCTGTCTCCCTACACTTGTATTTTGAGTGTGACTCATTGATCAAAAAAGAGAAATGCAACAGTTAAAGATGAATTTAACTTGAATTTAATTTGTTGTTTTTTATTTCTATATATATTGTGATAATAGTGTGTATATATTTTTACCTCGTAAATCGTTATATCACGAAAATCTGATATCATTATCTGATCAAGACAAAAATAATGTAGACTCAACATGATGGTCAAATGTTAGTAAATCATAAAGGTCACAGGTAATTGGCCTAAATAACATCTGGCAAAGGGAATACCAATGAAAACTAGCCGTTGAGCTAATTTGGGTACATTTACATTTATGAATGTTGATTAATGTACACTGTCCCTTTTTTTTGGAACTAAATAAATAAACCGCACTTGTGGTTACTCTGCTAGGACACCAGCGTGAATTTACGATACACACACAAGCAAAAAGAGTTACCTAAATTGTTGTGGGCAGGAGAAACAGAGTTCGGTGACAGATTTGGAGACCCTGAAATGAAAAGGTCAGATCAATGTTTTAATGGTGTATGAATGTACACAGCACATTTTGATTAAATTACTTTTGATTAGATTTCCAATAATTCAAGTGTGCAGAGTCAATTATTCCACTTCCATTCCATTCAAGTTACCACATGTGTTTGTCTCATTTGTCAAATTTTTCAGGTTTTCGTTCCTAAATGTTCTTCTGCATAGATCTACTTCCTTACACCACTGATTAAGTATCAGAAAGAAACTCAAAAACAAAGTGGAAAAGTGATATGGAACTGAAATGCCACCAACAAACATAGAACTACTTCATAGCTGTGCAGTTATAGAAAATTCAGTGCCTCAATGTGTCATCTTTAAAGAATGCAACATCACAGTGGTATAACTGGCATCACCTGTGTCCATACTGCGGTTCATCTGATGATCGCTTGTCTCTCCATCCTCACTGATGTAGCCTGGAGGGGGTGTTTCTGCAATACACACAAACACGCAGGTTAGCCTGCATGCACACAATTCGTACACACTCTGTAACACATAACACATCCGGCAAAATCTAGCAGGTGCATCAGAGACAATGACTCACAAGGGTTTTATTTCCCCCCTCAGATTAAGACACATGATTTAGAAAGCTGGGTTCAGCTCAGTTTCAGCAGCAGGATATGAAACAACACACACTGCCCTATTACAGTAACAGCCTGCCTCTCTACAGCAAATGCCATTCTGATGGAACTAATCCCGGCCAAAGCCACTCCATACATACTCCATGGGATAATCTTCCTCTTATGTAGCCAAAACCAGTCTTTAAACCACTTCAGCATAAATTGTGTTGTGTCCGTCTGATGCAACAACGGGTAAACATCTCTTGAGTAGTCCTACAAATATAATAAACGACAGAACCGTAGCAGTCATTTGTTTACTGGGTGGGATTAACGTGTAAATAGTTAAATGGCTGTGATTCTTTATGCCCTTTTTCTCTTTTGAGTTCCCTGAGTGTACAATTGAGGCTTCACATGTACTTTGTATGTGTCTAAGGACATGGGTGTGTGCCATTCAGTGTCACATGATCCTTCCGAAATCATTCTAATATGCTAACAATGTTGAAAACAATTGTGCTGCTTAATATTTCAGTGGAAACAGGGATATATTTTTTCAGGATTCTTTGATTCATAGAAAGTTAGAAAGAGCAGCATTTATTTGAAATACTCATCTTTTGTAACATTATAAACATTAAGTCTTTCCTGCTCTAATGCATCCTTGCTGAAAAATGTATTAATTTCTTTAAAAAAAAAAAACGTACTGATCCCAAACTTTTGAATGTTGGTGTATATACAAGAGGTCAGAAACGCATATGACCACTTTATCTATAATGCAGACACTGGACCAGGGCTGCACGATAATGACAAAAATCATAATTATCAATTATTCCCTTGAAATTCTAATTGCGATTATTAATTGCGATTATCACAATCTACATTGAATGATGTTTATACCATTGTTTGAAGCAACTGCATGCCATATTTTTATATGAAAATAAACAAGCTGAAAACACTAACTGAAAAACTTTTATTGCTTTTCTATAGTATTAAGCCTCAAATGTCAACTATACATTGGATTGGTTTCTTCTTTAAATAAAAAAGTAAAAATCAGCATGATATTATAATGTTATACTAAAACTAAAATTGAAACAATGGAAAAACCCTTAAGATAACATGTAGCAAGAAAAAAAAACACATCTAAGTGGACTTTAAACGATTAATTGCACCTTTGAACGATTATGTAATTGTGGCATCCATAACTGTAATCGCGATTAGAAATTCGATTAATTGTGCAGCCCTACACTGGACAAAAGTCAATGACTGCCTTCTTACCTGTCAATCAACCACTGAACCAAAACAAGGGTTTTAAACTTTGCCGTTTCAAAAGAAAATAACCGTACAATAATAACATTTGTAAAAGCACACATAAATATGCAAAACTATGACTGAAGCACATCTAAAGTTAAGTTACAGTTATAAATAAATCAGGTATAAATAACTACAATGATTCTGCTTGATGAACATGATTTTTTTCATGCGTTTACTTTTCTTTATTGGTGCTTCATCAACACTGTAACACAATGATGTAGTGATTGTCTTCTGCCTGAATGGAGGCCAGTGGACAGGGCTATTGCTCTATCTGGTGTTTTGTCTCTTTCCTCCTCCTACATCCTTCCAGTAAAGTGATCCACCCACTGCCCACTAGACCACTGGAGCTACAGCTACAGGCTAAGCTTACTCTATTAAATCCGGAGAACACTTCAGATTGTGCTGCTTTATGGCAGATGATGACGATATATTATTTTAGAGGCCACTTGATGTTATTTGGTTTGGCTTTTCTGTTGTACCTCACGGCTAATCTGATTTTATAACACTATGAACCTCAACTCCAAGAGTCTTCTCCAGTTCTTCCTTACTACTGTGTATTTGTCTCCTACCTGGTATGTAGTTGCTCTGGGGTTCGATGCCAGCGGGGAAAATGGTGTTTTCTGGGATGGAGTGACTGTAGTCATCCAGAGGAGGAAACTCACTAGGGATTTCAGTGTGACGAGGCACCAGCACTGGAGGAAGAACTTTAGTGAAGGAGAGAAAGTGAAAAAGAATGAGAAAGAAGAAGAGAAAAAAGATACCTAAATTACAACACAAACAAAACATATATATTGATCCACAACTGGCACAACATACTGCAGATACTTCTAAAATACTATTAATGCTAAACTGGGCTGTGCGATATGGATAAAAAAAATACTATCACAATGCGATTTCGACTATCACAATAGAATTTTGACACAATATTGCCTTACACTTTACATTCATAAATGCAACATTCATAAATTTGTTCTGCTTGACTTTATCTGAAGTAGTTGCATAGTATTTAACTTGTTTTGTGACACAAAACATTTTAAATAGCAGTGAAATTTCACAATTCTCAATTCCAATTTTGATACCACAGCAAAAACTACTAGCCTAACTAATATAAAGTTCAAACATTATTCAAGAGAAAACACCTAGTTAAATAAGATAAGAAGATAAAATAAGAATAACTAAACAAATCACAAGTAACAACAGAAATAAATACAACTGGACAAAGATACAAATTAATAAAACAATGCTTTTCAGGTATGTCTGACAGTAGTATTACAGTACAGAAATTGAATAACCAAATGTAAAACAACATTGCCTAGTCTTCATTGTATAAATTAATTATTGATTAATCTTTAAAAGCTACAAAAGTTATTCAGTCAAGAGCAGTGAGTGTTTTTCTCTTTGTCTTTTGTTGTTTGATTAACATTGAAACAGACATCAGAAGGTAGGCTGCTGTCCCTTTAAGACCTCATGTATGGATCTGTTATACTGATACACTTGCATTTTCTTTCTCAACTCTTTACTTTAATTTAAGACCTGAACATAAAAAGCGCAAAAAGACATTAAAGAGAACTATATTCGGAATTTGCTAGTGGTGGCTTTCTGTGTGCACTTTGGGTGTGTGTGCACAGAAAACCGTCTCAGACAGTGTGTGAGTACCCTGTTTCTGTGCTTTCTTTCATGCCAGTACAGTAAGCCCGCTCTGTTCTTTTCTGTTCTCACACTAGAATTAGGCGTGTTGCATTCTGATAGCACACTGAGGGGGTGGCGAAGAAATTGTGCTTTTTGCGGTTTAGAAATCGCAGTCTCGCATCACAATTTTATTACGATTTTGATTAATCACACAGTAGGGCTGCACGATATTGGAAAAAACTCACATTGCGATATTTTATTTTTCTGCGATATATATTGCGATATGAAAAAAAAAAAAATAACCACATGACTTGAATAGTTTATTTGGGGAAAAAAAATAATCAATGATTGAGGTGATTTTGTAGGCGAGTAAATCAGCATAGGAAATAAACAAATTACAAGCATAGATAAATATAACAGAACAAAGATACAAATGAAATAAGCAGTGCTTTAGCCTATATTTTTCAGGTTAGTCTAACAATATTCAGGTACAGAAATTGAATAATCAAATGTAAAATAACACTGCATAGTTTTCACTATAAATTAAATCTAATAAATCTGTGTTAAAGCTACAAAAGTGAGTTTTCTTTGTGTATTGTTGTTTGATTAACATTCATAACACAGAAAGCCTCAGGAACATTAAACTGCTGTAAACCAATATACTGTTACACATCCATTTTCTTTCTCAATTGTTTCCCTTCGCCTAAGCCATAAGCAACTGCTTTTACAAGGATACTTGCAGAGCACAGTATTTCAGGCACAAATAGAAGCAGAAGTGAACAGAATTCAGTGTTCACGTGCATCTGCGTGGCTCTCACCGTGTCTACACCGGACATGCGCGGCGCGACAAAATAAAACGAACCCATTAGCCTATAATCAGTGATGCTGTCTGTCTACACTGGATGCGGTGCGGCACGACAAATCCCCGACAGTAAACTGATGCCACGTTCTCTTTATGACGTACTGACACAAAGTTCAAATGATTGGCAACGGTCGCTTTGTCGCGTCCAGTGTAGACCATAGACTGTGTATGTAGACAGACTTTAGGGCCGTTCACATGTCGCGCCTAAAAACGCGTGGTAAAACGCCAGTCGTGCCGCTTTCTCCTTCTTTCCAAAGCGCTCGGGAGCTTGCGCTTTCGTGGCGTCTGCCGTTGCTAAGCGACCGTGACCTGCGCTCTCCACGACGACGCGGAAGTTTCAACAAAGGATAAATGGATTTCTAGCACTGAAAATCGCGTGCAGTAGCTCTGCTACTAAATGTATTTAAAATGGATATCTCTGTACAGCTGTCGCGTCCGGCGTCTGTGTGTGAGCAAAGAAAACAATCAGTATAAATATAACGATCAGTAGCCTATACTAAACATCGCACATCCTGCAATGTGACTATCGCGGATGCGCACATCGCGATATCGATGCTGAAACGATATATCGTGCAGCCCTATCGCACAGCCCCAATGCTAAATATGTTGAGTATTATAAGGTTCAGAAGATCATAACATCATGTAACAGCAATTTTTTTTTAGATTGTTTTTAGGCGTTTTGCCTTTATTTAGATAAAAAAAGTGTAGAGTGTGGACAGGAATTGAAGATATGGAGATGGGAGTATTGTCTATAAAACTGTGTTGAATTTATAACCTACCTATAGAACAATATTAATGTAATTACCAGAGGTGTGACCAAGTCGTTTTGCAAGTCACAAGTAAGTCTCGAGTCTTTGCATTCAATTCTCGAGTCAAGTCCCGAGCCAAGACAGACAAGTCCCAAGTCAAGTCCCGAGTCAAGACAGACAAGTCCCAAGTCAAGTCCCGAGCCAAGACAGACAAGTCGCAAGTCAAGTCCCGAGTCAAGACAGGCAAGTCCAAGTCGAGTTGCAAGTCCTCAACTTTTAGCTTCAAGTCTTAAACAAGTCATTAGTGCTCTTTGCCCAAATTAGTGTCTCAGTATTAATTACCATATCAAATTCATAGTAATTTATATCAGGAAGGCAGGTAGAATATTTGACATAGTTCAATTTCATGTGAGATGGGTGCCCTTAGTAAAAAATATTTTATTAGTAACAGAATAGCAAAGACAGCATAATTTCATAGAAATAACAGCTGCAACATACTTTGCATGTGTGCATAAGAATAGCTATATGCTTCTAGGTGTTATATCTAAGCCAATGAGCCATTATTTGGAACCTCAATGAAATAGATTTAAAAACATGTGAATGGAAACGCAGAAAGAACTGCTTTGAAAGAACTACAAGAAATAACTGCAAGCATACTTTACAAGTGAGAGGAAACATGCAATATGGATGCAGACAAACTCATGAAGACAATCATTCAAAAAT